CCGCTAGACGTTTAAGCGAGAGTGTCAATCTCGAACCGAACAATTGATTGCCCGACTTTGCTAGAACTTGAATTAATTATCCCCGATTCCCTAGCTTCTCCATCTTCGTTCTATTCATATTGTTAAGTAGATTTACATTTTGCATTGTTATTCATTTCTTAGTTGATAATTATTCACTCCCTTATTTGATTAGTATGTTTAGGATTTATTTTGCTTTTATGTGTTATCAATATCAGAACTAAATTACGAACCGCCTTCCTCGTGAGATCGACCCGGGGAACGAATCTTTCGATTTGGTACTCGGTAAAAATAATAATTTGTACACAACAGTCGCTCCCAAGTGCTCGATTAGGAGGTCCGACCCGACCAGCTCGACCAGAAACCTGGTCGTCCGATTAATCGACGATTAATCGCGATTAATCGTCCGACCAGGGCATATTGACGACCAGGACATTTATTTGTCTTTTTGGGCTGGTATGTGGGCTGCTGGGCTTGGCCTGTTGGGCATGTTAGGGTTAGGATATATATAGGAAGGAGGCAGCCAGGGACAGCTGACGGCTGCAATTCTTTCCCCCACACTCCACTTTCCCCGTCTCCCGCGCTCACTTTCCTCCCTTCCCGCGCGAGTTCCTCCCTTCCCCGCGCTTTTCCCCTTCTCTCGCCTCCTCTCTGTGAGTCTAGAGCAGCAGGGACAAACAGGGAGCCCTCTCGCCTCCTTTATTGTCTATAATATAGTATATATAGAGGTATATATATATATATATATATATATATATATAGGATATGTCCTATAATACCTGGACGACCAGATGGACGACCAGGCTCGACCAACCCGATTAATCTAGCTGGTCGACGATTAATCACGATTAATCGTCTGGTCGGTCCCTGGTCGACCAGGTTCGACCAGCCGACCTGAAAACACTGGCTATAAGCTAACTTATAAGCTATCAGTTAGTTTTACCAAACATAGCCTAAATATAAGAGCTCGTAAGTTCGACTCAAGTCGTTTAATTTACAAGCCAACCTCAAGTTCGAGCTCGTTTAAGACTTAATTAGTTAGGGAAACTAATATTGTTCGGCTCATTATTGCTCATTAGATTAAGCTTGAGAAGTAAGGATTTTTGCTTTTTTTTTTTTTTTTAAAAAAAATAAAAAATAAATAGCAAATAATTCTACATGGATTTGTGCCAACTTATGACTTCGTAACCATCTACATGGATTTCAGTACTACTACGTGTTAATTGTGTCAGATTTGTGTCAACTTATGAGCTTCGTAATAGTTTGTGTCGATTTCTCCAGCCTTTTTATGTGTCAATTTTTAAAAATTTGTAGTAGTCTACATTATCTGGGTTTCTAATCACGCGTATCAAAACTTTTAAATTATAAACACTCGAGCGACTTAATTTTAATTTAAATTAACAATTATATATATATATATATATATTATTTTAAAAAATAGCAACTTTCGCATTGTTATTGAATTTTCATGAATATATCTCTCTTGTATTAGCACTCGTGTAAGTAATAGTAGTGTAATAAACGTACATAGATGCATCAGCCGAGTTTTGACCCGAGTGTTCGCAAGCCGCTCGGTTCGTTTGCAGCGAGTATCAACAATTGAACATAACTCATTGCACAAAAATTTCATTTTCATCTACCAAAGTTTATCTATCTGTTAAATATTACAAAGATAAAATGAAAAATACAAACACCAAATCATTGAGCCACAATACATACAACACATAACTAAGAGTCTAAGATCATTAGAAAATTTGATGGAGCAGATTTAGAATCGACCTGAATAACAGCTATTCTTAGTCTCGGCCACTCAGATCACTTTTCTGTACCCACCAAATGCCCAAATCTGCCACTCAGCAAGTTTACGTGCAAAAGTTAGCAAAAGTCTACTGTTTTTGAATTCGAATTCGCAACGAGACAAAATGGGAGTATATGTTGATATAACTGATTTCATATGTATACGATAAATTGTCCTAAAATACCTTTCGAATGCAAATACTCGTTTAATAAATCAAACAAACAAATGAGAAGCGTATTTTCTTGATGTTTGTTCCAAGCTTGTGAATTATTATGAACATTCAATAAGGGGTATTAATGAAGCAAAAGCAATAAACCCAGTTTAGTGTATGTATAGTTGCTCTAAAATCCAAGGGGGTGTTTTAGTTTCGAAACATATCTGGATTTCTTTCATATCATAGTTATAATAAATGTCAATTTTTTTTCTTATTTTCCTATAGAAATTGAAAAAAAAAATATATATATATATATATATATCCAAAACACGAATCACCTTCAGGTTAGCGTCCCAGCTTCCTGTACACAAGGCACTGCCGTCAGCAGACAGTCCAAGACAGCTTATCTGATTATCATGAGAATTTTGAAGAGATCCCAAATCCAAAACCACCTATTCATTAGAGAAGATTTTTTAACGTAAATGCATCTTACAAGAATCATCACAATGGAGATGCAATTTACATACTAATAAAATTGAAAATTCAGCGACGTGTAATATGAGAAAAGTAGTATACTGAGGCTGTGTTTGGTAAGCATATAATTAACTTATAGCTTATTTGATTAGCTTATAAACTTCTATATTCAAGGTTTGGTAGGACGAGCTTTTTTAAAAAGCTTGAGCTTATCTCATAAACTTCCTTGGTTAGCTTTTCAAATAAACCCATTAAAATTTCTATTTTAGGAGCTAATTTTACTGAATACTTTTATCATATAAGCTAACTTTTCAGGAAAGTCATAAGCTTTCAATTATAAGCTCGAAATTCACTTAACAGTTATAAGCTAGCTTATCAGCTAAGATTACCAAACTTCACCAAACATAGCCTGATAAAACCCAAAATAACAAAAAAAAAGGGAGAATACTAAATACCTGAGCCAATAACGTGTCCCACACATAGCAATGTCCATTGGTGTACCCGGCAAAGAGGAGCCGGCCAGAGATGGAAAATGCAATTGAAGTCACGTGGCGAACCTCATTATCATCGCTCGGTTGACTATACTCTTGTAGCTGGTGTCCCGTTCTAATGTCAAATAGCCTGCACGTTCCATCATCCGAACCTGTACCGAACCTATTCCCGTCCGGAAAAAACTTTACGGAATTAACATCTCCCTCGTGACCGTGAAAAGTACGAACCTCTCGACTCGCAACACGAGTGTCCCATAGACGAGCGGTTGAGTCGCAAGAACTGGACACAAATATTCTGGAGTTGGATCTATTAATCGAGACACTGATACAAAAAACAGCACACCATTGTGAGATCTCACATAGCTCAGATAAAATATGGGTACATACAAAAAGTACCCTTGAGGATTGACCTTGTCGAGTATTGCAGTTATTTTAGTTTTGTTTTGTGTCTTACGGTTATGCATATATGACCGTTGATTCTAGAGGGCATTATACAACCAATCAATTTTTTTTTTTAACTTAAACATAACTCAACCCCACTATCCTCAATATTATCAATATAAATAAAATAATATCACTCAATCATTCTTACACGTTACATAAACATTAATTTACTACAAAATTTTAACTAACCATCACTTCACATAACTTATCTCAAATCAACTTTAATTATTATATTTTAAATATTATTTTAATGTAAACTCCAAATCACACTAACAACTAACCATACAACTTTTTTTTTTTAAAAAAAAAATAACCATACCAAAACAAAAAAATCCATACAAAATAATAAAAAAAAAATTATATCCAAACATCTCCTTAGTACTTTCATATAATTTTCTTCTTCTTCTTCATATAAAAGCTATATTTTTTCCTTCTTTGTGACCGTTGAGTCATTTCTGTAACTACTTTTTGCAGAGCAATACAATTTAGATTTCCATGGCTTCTCTCTATTTCTCCTCTCTGATTTACCATTGAACAGACCTAATCACAAAACCCAAATAAAAATAGTGTACCTTAGAACATCAGCAATATGCCCCGACTGGAACTCTCCACCAAATACAGATGTCCTCTGGCCAGTGGTCACATCCCATAAAACACATGTATGATCACCCGAAGCAGTTATTAAGTGTGCATCTTCATCGGGAACATATTGACATGATGACACATAACCCTTATGCCCACTTAGCATTTTCGATACCGGCAAATTCCCATCTTTATTGATATGAGAGTTCAGGTTGATGATAGAGCACATACTGTCAAGACCTCCACAGGCAACTGATTGACCAGTGGGTGAGAAGGCACATGTCATGACCCATGCGCACGGAAGCTTAATTGCATGAGTTTTCTGGCTCGTGAGAGCATTCCACACAATTAATCTGCCATCTTGAGATGCACTTACGATTCGATTCTTTTCTGAGGTCCAATCCAATGCGTACACCTAAAGACAAAGATTTATGCAAAAAAGAAAATGATTCGGGAAAGAGAAAAGGGCCGACATGTTATTTGTACACGAGATGCCTAATGATTTGTAGTCGTGATTTATGGTTGAGAAGTAGTTTCTCACTAGTTGCAGTATCTCATTACGATCTCCAAGGACAGTCATGAATTTAGAAAATGTACAAATGAAGTTGAGACAATCTGTCATTAATAGAAGCCTAATTATTATTCTTAACGAGGGAGAAAAAAAGGGCCAAAGAAGACTAGTTCTCCGCAAACTAAATCTAATGAAGATTCGAATTCTAATAAGCATCATAATAACTTAAATCTACCTACACCACTATGGATATGTTTGGTAAAACTAGTTGATAAGCTAGTTTATAGCTTATAAGTGATTTTCGAGCTTATAGCTGAAAAAGCTAGCTTATATGGTAAAAGTGCTTGGTAAAATTAGCAGTTCAAATAAAAATTTCAACTCTTATTTGAAAAGTTAGCCAAAGAAGCTTATGAGATAAGCTCGAGCTTTTTTAAAAGAACAAGTTCTGCCAAACGGAGCTTTATTTGAATACAGGTTGCTTATAAGCTAACCAAATGAGCTAGCTTAGCTTATTTGGTTACCAAACATAGCATGTATGCATTTATTCGCAGGTAATGTGCAAAAGGATCTCAAGAGAAGCTGGACATTATGTTAACATTGAAAATCCAAGTCATTAACCAAGATGTGAGAGGGTGTAACAGTGCGGGAACTTATCTCGTTATATGAATAAGATTTTCCAAAATGTGAAAATCCGATGCTACAAATCTTCTAAGGTTACTTTTCTAAGCTGATATTATTATAACAAAAACAAATAACGGAAATTTTGAAGAAACAAAATACAGAATGAACAGTTTTTGTCACTTTCTCATATCAGCTAATGTTGATCATCATAAATTCTATAGTTTTGGGTCTATGCAAAGTTCAAAGCAGGATGCTACTTAAAATGATAAAAACAAAAATCCATTTCCCTACAGCATAGTCTACAATCAAACAAAAATTTCCTAATTTCTCTTGGCCATCAGAAATGTTAAAATCGATCAACTGCAAAGTCCCCCAACTAATACTTTTCACACAAATAGCTAGTGCAACAATGCAATCCAGCATCTGACATATAACTGCACATTACAAGAATGAACAATCAAACCATGCATTTGTATATAAAGTGGTAATCGTTTAATGTTGTATCAACAAAAAAAGTTACAGAAACGTGGCCTAACTTCTCTTGGTCATCGGAATTGTAAAAATCGATCTACTGACTAAAATTTTTCACACAAAATAGTGAGCATCACAATTGAATCCAACAAACCGATATATAAACCGCACATTACAAGAACGAACAACCAAAGCATGCATTTTGTATTTGATGTAGAAATCGTCAAATAGTTCCCACCCCAAAAAAAAAAAAGCAACCACAACAATAAGAACAAAAGTAAAAACTAATAATAATAACAATAATAATAATAATGCTTACCTTGCCCGTGTGCCCCTGCAGTGTCCGGCAACAAACCAGATCAGTCTGCCCAAACGTCACCGGCGTCTTCCCCTGAGAACGCGCGTACCCAGCAACTGACCCAAAAATAAATAAATAAATAAAATGAAGCCATCGAGGATCAAACAATCACACAGCACAATTCTAGCTAAACACACAAACAAATCTGAGGACAGTAATGGCGGGCAACTGAAAATCGAACTCAAACGAAAATCTCAAAACCCAAAAAAAAAAAAAAAAAAAAAAGGAAAAGCAATAAAATTGGAACCATCAGTATCCAGAAGAAGCCGACGCTTGTGCTTCAATCTGTCCCTGAGCGTGTTAACGGTCTCCGTGGCGGCCATGTGACGCTCCCTAAGTTCATCACCGGACATCTGTTGTTCTCAACGAAATTCAAGAAACGCAACGACGAGAAGAAGAATGAAGAAAGGAAATCCAGCTCTACAGCTCCATATGAACCCTAATTTTCAGAATTTGGGAAAAGGGATCCATGAGAAAGGAGTGGTGGTGTTGAGGGAGTTCGGGGAATGTGGAAGCGAGGTGGACTGTTGCAGGCTCGTTACAGTGACGGAAAATTTTGTGTGGATGATAGTCTTGATTAAAAAAAATCAAATTTAAAGTTTTTTTTTTTTTTTTTTTTTAAAAAAAAAATTTAAGTATTTCTTTTAATTTGCATTAAGCTATATTTGTATACAAATGTTGACTAAAAAAAAAATTACTTTTGGACCTCTTGAAAATAAATAAAATTAAATGTTTTTCTTCAATTTCAAAATATTTTTTTTCAATATATTATTATTCTTATTTCAAATAATACTAATCAATCCTGACATATACTTTTCTTTATAATATTTTCTTACTTATAATATAGAGTTGGTAGATAAAATTATTTAATTGATAAACAATAAATTTATTATTTTTCAATTAAATTCAATAGATATTTAATTTATATTTTAATACTATCTGATATACAATATGGATATCACAAAAATCTTATAAGATAAAGAGGTCTTAGAAATAGTACAGACATCCAATTCATTCACTAACAATAAATAAGTTGGTCTCCAATTAGCTACCAATAGAACAATGCACAATACAACAATTCTGTAAAGCAGAAAAATATAATCTCAGAAGGGTAAACCTTGAGACACCGGGCTGAGACACCGGGCTTGTCACGAAGAATTGTGGTTTTTAACTTCACTCTAACTAGGCGCCCGAGTGAGACACCGGGCTTGTCACGAATTGGCCAACCTTGTATACATGGACATATTGTTGTGGCAAAGCTTGCTCGACCTGAAAATGAAACACAAAACAAGGCAAAGCACGAAATTAAGCTGTATGACTTTTCTATCGTTCGGTTTTCCACCCGAGTGTCGTTCATTTTGTCAAGGAAAGATGAGATTTGTCTGGTTTAATAATTAGATGAGTGTTTCTTAAGGACTGCAAGGTAAGAAGCTACCCAAATTTATTAGGAACTTGGACATACCCAATCATCATTCGGTTCGGAACCAGGTACCAATACATTGATTTCACTCGATTTTGCTGTCGTAATAGAAGCCTTCAAGGCATCTTTGCTCAAGTACAGTTGGCAGCCTGATGTGTTGTCTATCGAAGTAGTAGGAGCAGAGCCCTACAAAAGGCAAATCGCAACAAGAGATGGTTACTAAAATCGGTTTTGATTGAATTTATAGGTTAAAGTGAGTTAATATTGAATAGAGTTGAGATTTTGAGTTTGTTTTTTTAATAATATTTAAAATATAAGGATTAAAAGTGATGTGATGTAAACACATGAGAGAAGTTAATAAAACTTTAGGTACTTAAAAAATTGTGAGCGGATGAATAGTAAATTAAAATTGATGTGATTGATATTATTTAATTATATTGATAATATTGAGCAAGGTTGTGTTGGATGTTAAATTAAGTAAATGTTAAAAAATTGTCCGGTCAGTCAAAACCGATTAATTTTTGTAGCCAACCGAGCCCTATGTCTTTCTCAAACTACTTACATGGATATATTTGAGTTCTAACACAAAAATTAAGGGAAAAAAAATAAAGTCCTGACTAATCAAGAAAAAAGAGAGGAAAAAGGGGGGCAAAAAACAAAAAGAAGGGATTACCTGACATTGCACTTCCACGCCACTGGAATTGACAATCTCGCAAGCTGCCACAACAACCTAGGCCCCCAAATATTTCAAGGTAAAACAAGTGAACTTGAAGCATTAAAGTTAACCAAAAGTGATTAGTGAATTTAAAAGAAACATTGCTTCACCAACCTTGAACACAAGACCCATCTTAGTGCACTTGCGATTGTAATGTTGTTTACCTTGCCTACAGATATCCCACATTAATCTTTCACAGCTCCCTTTAAGAGAATTTGACTCGAAATAAGCCTACACATACCTTGAATCCGGAGAACTGAATTTTTGCATCCATAGATATAGACCGACTGTTTCGCATCACAATCATCAATAACTAAATTGTTTCGGCCAATTTGATTCTCAACCACCCATCTGCACAGAACAAGGCACTTATTAATTTTTTACTCAAGGACGGATAAGATAACCCAGACTTCATCTCTGTTGAAAACCACAAAAATCTACTCACTTACGACCCATTTGAAGCTCCAATTGCGGTGGACCCATCTTAGACAAAGCAGGTGAAGTAGTACGGCTTTCCTTCTCAGACACAGTTACTACGCCAGATCGCTCTGCACGGTTCTTGGTCTTCATATCATCAGTGACTTTCCTCAAACCTGCAAATTGAAAATGCACGTTACCAAAACTTGATAATCATATTATAAATAAAAGTGAACACATTAAAGAAAATGAAAATAGTATTTGCAGAAGATAATGTGTTCACCAGCAGTAACCGGCTTTCCAGAACTAATTTCCTGGAACACAGCAGACATGCCTTTCTTGGGCCCTGCTGATGAAGGCTGAGTCGAGGCTTTGGCTGCTGGGGCAGATCCTGCTATTTTGCGCCCCATGGCATTCCATACTGGGGCAGATCCTGCTATTTTTCGCCCCGTGGCATTCCATACGGGGCCCAGCGAATAGTGACTCTTTACTTAGTCCCTCAAGCCAGGTAGATAGAGATCTTTTAGAGCCTTTGCCCACTCGACGTGATTTTCATCTTTGTTTTTGTACTCCACAAGGATCTAGTAAGAATTATAAAGACCAGCGAGTTAATGAAAATGCGTGGAGTCGAAATGGACGAAAATTTAGAACAGTTAACAGTATTATGCTTGCTGGAAAAAGATAAAAGAAGGAAGATACAATATCAGGGCAGCGCTAAAAATGCACAAACATCTCACTCGGATTTCATTCATACGCTTTCATCTTCTATACTTTTCTCGCGATTTCCTATGCTAATACTGTAAGAAATATAATCTGTTGTTTCATTGTAGTTTCCTTGCAATTGCAGTGCAATTTCCTTGCAGCTGCAAAGCATTTTCATAGCAGCCATTCTAGGCTGATTTTTCATGACTTTTCAGCTTAGGTAATTTCGAGGAAAGTCACTAGATAGTTGTTTTTAGTTCTTATAAATAGGGGTGCAGTTTTTTGTTTTGAAAACACACAGAAAAACTTAATACTCAATACATTGAGTTGTTCATAATCTTCTTCTTCTATCCTAAAAGTGTTCGTTTGTGTCGGAAGCATTTTTGCTTATCTAAAAAGTGAACGAGCAGGGACTAACAAGTGGCATCAGAGCCATGGCAAGCCAAGATGTTGCGTCGATGGTGCAAGGGAGCGGAGCATACGCTTCACCACGCCGGGAGGTCATCATCCACAGGACCGTGCGGGACGTTGGCGGGGCCAACTGGCCGGTCCTCACACGCACAAACTACGGCGAATGGGCGGTGCTGATGAAGGTCAAGTTGCGTGCGCGCAAGCTTTGGCGGGCCATCGAGGAAGGCACCGAGGATGAAGAAGAGGACTGCGCAGCGATGGAAGCGATTATGTCCGCTGTGCCTAACGAGTACGTGGAGTCGCTGGGCGCAAAAGACTCCGCAAAGGCTGCTTGGGACGCCCTCAAGGCCATGCGCATCGGGTCTGATCGCGCAAAGAAGGCAAAGGCGCAGCAGTTGCGGCGGGAGTACGAGGCGCTGGCATTCCGCGACGGCGAGGCAGTGGAGGATTTCTCGCTCCGTTTGCAGTCGCTCGTCAATCAGCTGGCGGCGCACGGCGTCACCATCACCGACGAGGAGGCGGTCGCAAAATACTTGCGCGTCGTGCCGCCTAAGTATGCCCAGATAGCGCTCTCCATCGAGACATTGATCGGCATGTCCACCCTCACAATTGAGGATGTGACTGGGCGCTTGCGGGCAGTGGATGACCGCGTGGAGACGGCAACGATAACTACCAGCGGCAAGTTACTACTGACCGAGGAAGAATGGGCAGCTCGTATGCGCGAGCGGCGACCCGGGGAAGGCTCCTCCAGCCGTGGCGGCTACGGCAAGCGCCGTGGCAAGGCCCCGCAAAAGAAGGACGACAACAATGCGCGTCCGATCAACAAAGACACTTGTCGACGTTGCGGGAAGACTGGGCACTGGGCCCGGGATTGCAAGAATCCTAAGAAGGAGAAAAGGGAGGCGCACCTCGCGCAGGTGGACGACGAGGAGCCAGCTCTTCTAATGGCAACGACCTGCAAGTTGCACGACGTCGAGCCAGAGTTGGAGGAAGTCAAGGCGGCGGCCACAGAGCAAGGGAAGGCACTGCAGGCCGTTCACCTCGACGAGTCGAGTGCCCAAGTCCACCTTGGACGAATGGGCGGTGGCATGGAGCAGAGGTGGTACCTGGACTCCGGCGCCAGCAACCACATGACCGGCTCCAAGGAGGCTTTCTCCGAGCTTGATGACGGCGTGATGGGGACGGTGAAGTTCGGCGACGGCTCGAAGGTGGAAATTCGAGGTCGCGGCACAGTCATCTTCCGGTGCAAGAACGGCGAGCACCGCGCATTGACGGATGTGTACTATATCCCGCAGTTGCGTTCAAGCATCATCAGCATCGGGCAACTGGACGAGCACGGCTGCAAGGTGCTTGTCAAAGGCGGCGTGTTAAAGCTCCAGGACCAGGAACAGCGGCTGCTGGCTAAGGTCCAACGTTCCCGGAACCGCCTCTACCTCCTCGACTTGAAAGTGGAGCAACCTGTGTGCTTGGCGGTACGGCACACTGAGGAGCCATGGCTATGGCATGCTCGGTTTGGCCATTTGAGCTTCGACGCACTCGGTCGGCTGAGGAAGATGGTGCGTGGGCTCCCGCACATCGAGCACGTAGGCGAGCTGTGTGATAGCTGCCTGGCAGGGAAGCAGAGGCGGCTGCTTTTTCCAAAGGCGGCCAAGTATCGTGCGGCGGACGTCCTCGAGCTCGTCCACGGCGACCTCTGCGGGCCGATCACGCCGGCTACGCACGGCGGACGACGCTACTTCCTGCTGCTCGTGGACGACTGTAGCCGTTTCATGTGGTTGCAGCTCCTGACGAGTAAGGATCAGACAGCGGAGGCAATCAAGCGGTTTCAGGCGCGGGCTGAGGCAGAGTCCGGGAAGCGGCTGCGCGTGCTGAGGACGGATCGCGGTGGCGAGTTCACATCGGTGGAATTCGCCGCATATTGTGCAAACCAGGGGGTGGTGCGCCATCACACAGCGCCGTACTCACCGCAACAGAATGGCGTAGTGGAGCGGCGGAATCAAACCGTGGTGGGCATGGCCCGAAGTATGATGAAGGCAAAGGGCATGCCAGCGGAGTTCTGGGAGAGGCCGTGAGCACGGCGGTGTTCATCCTCAACCGTGCGCCCACGAAGGCCCTGAAGGGCATGACACCATTCGAAGCTTGGCATGGCAGACAGCCCGACGTCTCGTTTCTGAGGACGTTCGGGTGCATTGGCCATGTGAAGAAGACGAAGCCCTTCCTGTCCAAGCTTGAGGATAGGAGCACACCGATGGTGTTCCTAGGCTACGAGGAGGGGAGCAAGGCCTATCGGCTCTACGATCCACGTGGAGGCAAGGTGGTGGTCTCGCGGGATGTGGTGTTCGACGAAATGGCGGCCTGGGATTGGGAGAATCCTGGCACGGAAGAAGCCTGTGGCGTCGGCGGTACGTTTGTCATCGAGCATTTTGTGATCCACGGAGGAGGAGATGCGGGATCAGAGGAGCCAGCTGCGGACGCGCCAAGTCCAGCAACTGTGGTTGCGTCAGTTGAGCCGCAAAGTCCGGCCATGGGTACGGGTGAAGAGTCTCCACCAGCAGCTGCGCACACACCCCCACCACAGTCCCCTGCTGCGGCAGGACAGGGACACCTCCAGCGACGACAGTTGAGTTCACCTCTCCTCCAAGCAACATCGACGAGTATGTGGATGTCTTCCACGATGGTGAAGAAGTGAGGTTTCGCAGGATGGACAACCTCGTTGGCAACTCGGTTGTACCAGGTTTGGCGAGCCGATTACTCGACGATCAGGAGCTACTCCTCGTCAGCGCAGAGGAGCCATCGACTTTTGCGCAGGCCGAGCGCGATGCCAGTTGGAGACGAGCTATGCTAGAGGAGATGAAGGCGATCGAGGAAAATGAGACGTGGGAGCTCGTCGATCCACCTCCAGGTTGTCATCCAATCGGGCTCAAATGGGTCTACAAGGTCAAGCGGGACGAGAGTGGCGCTATAGTCAAGCATAAGGCGCGCCTCGTTGCTCGGGGGTTCGTCCAGCGTGAGGGCATCGACTTTGAGGAAGTTTTTGCACCAGTAGCGCGCATGGAGTCAGTTCGCCTACTGCTGGCCATGGCAGCAGCGAAGGACTGGCACATTCATCACATGGACGTGAAATCGGCCTTCCTCAACGGCGAGCTAGCGGAGACTGTCTTTGTCAAGCAAGCCCCAGGCTTCGCCGTCAAGGGAGAGGAGCACAAGGTGCTGCGGCTGCGGAAGGCACTCTATGGGCTGCGACAAGCACCACGAGCGTGGAACGCCAAGCTCGATGCCACCCTGGGTACGCTTGGGTTCACGCGCTGCGCGACAGAACACGCGCTCTACACGCGACGACGGGGGAAGGAGGAGCTCATCGTCGGCGTGTATGTGGATGACTTGATCATCACCGGGGCAAGAGAAGAGGACATCAACGGCTTCAAGCGCGAGATGGCAACTCGTTTCCGCATGAGCGATCTCGGGCAGCTCTCCTACTACCTCGGCATCGAGGTGAAGCAGGGGAGAGACTCCATCACTCTCTGCCAGCGTGCATATGCAGGGAAGCTGTTAGAGCGGAGCAGCATGGCTGACTGCAAGTCATGCGTGACTCCGATGGAGGAGCGGTTGAAGCTGACGAAAGCCAGCACCGCAGGGAAAGTGGATGCCACACTCTACCGGAGTATCGTCGGCGGACTGCGCTACCTAGTCCACACGAGGCCAGATATCGCATTCGCCGTGGGCTATGTCAGCCGTTTCATGGAGGACCCTCGAGAGGATCATTGGGCTGCAGTAAAGCGGTTGTTGCGCTATGTCAAGGGGACGGTGGACCAAGGCATCATTTTTCCCAAGACCACCGGTGGAAGTGGGCTGCGACTCACGGTTTTCAGCGATGCAGACATGGCAGGCGAAATTGATGGGCGGAAAAGCACCTCCGGTGTGCTCGTCTTCCTTGGATCGGCCTCAATCTCATGGCAGTCGCTGAAACAGAAGATCGTGGCGTTGTCTACGTGCGAGGCAGAGTACGTGGCGGCAGCCACAGCGGCGTGCCAGGCAGTCTGGCTGCGTCGGTTGCTGGGCGAGCTGACCGGCGAAGAAGCTCGTCCACCAACTCTGATGGTGGACAACCAGCCCGCCATTGCCCTAGCAAAAAATCCAGTCCTCCATGACCGAAGCAAACACATCGATACTCGTTTTCACTTCATCCGTGATTGTGTCGATGAGGGGCAAATTATTTTGGAGTTTGTCGAATCCGGACGGCAACTCGCAGACATCCTTACCAAGCCACTCGGCCGTCTTCGGTTTATGGAGCTAAGGACCAAGATTGGAATAGTGGGAAACAAGCAAGAACAACAGGATTAGGGGAAGAATTGTAAGAAATATAATCTGTTGTTTCATTGTAGTTTCCTTGCAATTGCAGTGCAATTTCCTTGCAGCTGCAAAGCATTTTCATAGCAGCCATTCTAGGCTGATTTTTCATGACTTTTCAGCTTAGGTAATTTCTAGGAAAGTCACTAGATAGTTGTTTTTAGTTCTTATAAATAGGGGTGCAGTTTTTTGTTTTGAAAACACACAGAAAAACTTAATACTCAATACATTGAGTTGTTCATAATCTTCTTCTTCTATCCTAAAAGTGTTCGTTTGTGTCGGAAGCATTTTTGCTTATCTAAAAAGTGAACGAGCAGGGACTAACAAATACAACATAAAAGTTAAGATACTTAGAATTCGTCAAGTCAGTAAACACTTGCGTTTTTGGAGAAGTTTCTAGTGGCAAGCTTCAACTGTGTTGCAGATAAGTTTCTAGGCATTTAAAGAAGAAGCAGGGAGGAGGACCACACACCTTCCACTGACTTCTAAATCAATTTTTCAATAGTGCATATTAAGAACCAATACAAACAAATTGCTGAAGAAAACACCTAAACCTTCTTAAAAAAAACCCAACAACCTGTTATATGCCTATGGTGCACATTGGTGCGTAAATGATCCCCATTTCTTATATCAGAAGTATGTGGCGAACATATTTCATGAACCAAAGATTACAGCTGTTGCTACTCCAAAAATAATTTGTTGTAAAACCCATATAAGAGAAAAGAGAACGGTGAGACAGATATTAGAGGGTGATTATATTTCTCACTTTGTACAACTCCTATTTGGTTTTTCCCTGGATATAAAAGGGGCTACTCTCTTTAGTGAACAAACACTTCAAAGCTTCAGAAACCTACCTTGTTACAATAAAACTCGGCCGTCTGCCAGCATTCCTCAACATGTGCAATAGGCATACTCATACCTAAAAAGACAGATTAGTAGATTAACTATAACAGCGGAAATAAGACATTTACCAATAATAACCAAAGGCATGTGGGGGCAAATCTTTCATACCACAGTCTTTTCCTGTGTAAGCAATCCACGCCAAAGCAGCCAAACTATCTGCACCGGTCTTTAAGTGAATGAAGAAATCAGTTCGCCTTCCCTCTGCTAATGCAGATGCTTTCATTCAATTGTTTAAGGAATTCCACCAATCCTGGCATATCAGGTTTCTGCACACATAGCATAACAAGACTAAAAAGTTTCACAACCCACATTCCCACAACCACATAAAAAAAATGCAGGATAAGAATATCGGAAAACACATACCATCAATGGCATCTTTGGATATTAGAACATCACAAAATCCAAGAATCCCACTATCAAGTAATAAGATTGCTCATAACATTCAAAAGAACTTTAACAGAGGATACAAATATACCAAGAATGTAACCATCCCAACAAACATAAGCATAAACAAGGAACGTGTGCAGCTGCTCAAGGAATCTATTTGTATCGCGTTGGGAAATTTATAACTAGTTCATTCTAAACACATCAACCAAATTAACCAGAAACTCAAATCAGATTAATCGTAAAAATAAGCTGTTCGTAATTGCCGATAATCGTCCCACCTCATTCACATCCCCTTCCAATAATTTTTCTCAGTCTCAACCATACCAATTATGCTTAATCAATCACAATTTCATCCTCAATCACTGTAAAGGACAGTGCACCCAATTCCCTTGTGTACAAAACCCAAAAGGCTTCACACTATTTGCCATTCGCAATGCCAAATTGTGTTCAAACATTCTTAATCACCCCATTCACACCACACATTCTCCCGCACAGTTAAATCACAACGATAGATAAGCTCCAACCGACCTGAGTTTGCTTGATTTTGACGAGAAGCTACCTCTGCACATTGAAAGCTTCAGAGATAACGTTAGACACGTCCATCACCTGTCCACCGATCTTCTCCGCGGCGCTCGTGACTCGACCGACGCTCTGAGAAATCACATCGTCTAACGCCGCAATTGACGGGTCCGCCGCGAACGCATCGCCGCCTTCGTCCTCCGCCGCCTCCAGCCGAGCCACCGCCGCTTCCAACCTCCTCACCAAATTCACGTCCATGTCCGATCAACAGCAAATTCAGATAGAACAAATCTATCTATAGTGTTTTAATATTTTTAATTAATATTTTCTAATGGATTTTGCTACTTTTGTCAACCTCCATTACAACATGGTTTACAACCATGTTTAATGGAGGCATTAAAAATGCACATGGTTGTAAACCATGTTGTAATGAAAGGTGGCTATGTAGCATCACCCTTTTCTTTTTTCTCCTTTTTCTGGCCCAAACCCGAAAGGTGAAAATGCCCAACAGTTATTCTATTTTGATTTAATTTATTTTTATTTTTAATTTTAATGGAGGGAATGGTAAGGGGAGCGGGATTACACGTGGCGGCTGGGCAAGTGCGAAGAAATACCCCAACCCACATTTTCAGTGATAAGCAGAATTTGTCTTCAGTCGGGCTCGTTGTTAAGGGGGTGATTGTTTATGTTTTGAATAGTAAAAAATCTAGAATTTTTTAATTATGGTTAAGTTTAAGAAAAAGTGGTATGGTTAGTTGTTAGTGAATATATTAAAATAGTATTTAAAATAAAATAGTTAAAGTTGATTTGATGTAAAAGTAAGAGAAAATAATTGGAAGTGATAGTTAGTTAAAATTAGTTAAAATTATGTGAGTAGATGAATAGTGAATTAAAGTTGATGTGATATGCCATAATGTTTGTTGATGTTATTTAATTGTATAATAATATTGGAGATAGTGCGGTTGAGTTAAAGTTGAGTTAAATTTGAATTTGAGTAAAAAAAATTACTGTAGAAGTGGTAAACAATCACCCCCTAAAACTCTCTTCCCGGGCTGAAAGGTGATGCACTTCCTACTTGATAGAACAGATCTACACGAGAAGAACAAGAGAGAGAAAGTATGCGAGAGAAAAATAAAAATAAATTCTGTATTACTAAAGAATAAAAAAAAGTGAGTAAAATATTAGGGTTTGGGCTATTTATATGGAGCCCAATATACAAACATAAAAGGCTAAGGAAAAGGCAGAAAACGTTTTTACAAAGAACTAATATAAAATGCTAAAATGCTATTTTATACTCTAATTCACCCCCCCCCCC